GTGATGTTTTATTATCTGTATTCTGTCTGAAAAAGCAGCGATAGGAGAAAATGTTCTTGTGGTAACCACTGTGACCTTCACAAATTAGCTGTATGAATATTTACTCAGGCGATACAATACTCTACGATACTTCTTTTATTAGAAAAAAAAACAGTTTGATAGTAAAAACTCATCTGATTCAACACACAGACTAGTAATTGGCAGCAGATAGCTCTACAGTTCAGGTTTTTATCATCCAGCTCTGCTTATGAAGACATATTTGTGCTCATACATCCTTATCTGTGGTCTAATTATCACAGTTAACAGACAGACGTCACGCTGTAGGTGAAATATATAGCAGCAGCACATTGGGTGCATCTGTGTCACGCTAAAAGCTTGTAGCAAAGCACGATAAACATCTCATTTTAAACCTTCAGTCGACAGGTAGGACAGGATGTGATGCAGGTCTTGGTCTCATTTTAGCGCCTGTGTTTAGATTAAAGCGTGCACAATTACTTTGCAGCACATCAGCAAACTGTGATGGCATTTTGTTTCCATGTGGGCTTTTATAGAGTAATTTACAGATTACATGTTTTCTCCTTTTTCATCCTAGATATTTATTCACCTTTAATGGAAGTTTCAGATTCTGAGAATCAAACAATAAGTTCTAATAAGTTTTCTTCTTATTTAAAGTTTTGGTTCAAATAAATCTAATTCAAGTCTTTATTAATTCATCCAGGGCGCTGAGCCATCTGATAAATACACAGAGGAGACAAAGAAGAGACAGGAAGGAAATACCAAGAGGCAAAGTAAAAGGATCCACTCAGAGGCTGAGATCTACAAAAATAACTTGGACTTAAAAGCTGTGCAAATACACTATATAGAGCGGTTAAATAGCATTTGATCCATACAGATCTGTTCTGTTTTTACTTTCTAAATAAAAAGCATTTTAGATTATTGAACTGATTCCAATAGGAGACAAAGATAATCTGAGTAAATACTGTTTGCAAAGAAAAATAAAATGAATAGGAGAAATGTCTCCTTTTTAATATCCTGACTATATTTTAGTTGGATTCCACTGACATAACTGAAACTTTGGGAAATAATTATTCACCTAAATAGAAGCTGTTTGACAACAGGAAGTAGGCTAAATCTCCAAAATATCATGGTTAAATCGAAAGAACTTAAATACATTTAAAAAATGTTTCAAAATGGCCTAGTCAAAATGTTGACCAATTGAGATGCTGTGGTGTTAGCCTAGACAGGATATTTATGTTAAGATATGACTTTATAAACATTTCCGTAAAAGGATAAAACTTTACTCAACAGTGATGAAAAATACCCCACACCTGGATGGCAACCGTTACCGAAAAAATGGATCAATCTACTGAGGTTGCTGTGAAAGTATAAAGACATATTTTGGAAGGAAACAGAAATGTTTCATCCAAATGAAATGCAGACAATAACGACAGAATAATAAACCATTTAGAGTCTTGATAGGTGATGGACTGCTACAGTAGCTACGCTATATGGGACAATGAAAAATAGAAAACAAAATAGAAACTCCAGTCTTTATCTTAGATGTTCATAGGCAGTTAGTGAATAAATCACCAAACGTCTAACAGTTCACCATGGACATCCTTATGCTCAAAATTAGAAGGTTTTGGCATAAATCTACACCTGCCTGACAACCTTAAACCTAAAGTCAGCTACAAAGTCATGGCGTTTGCCTGCTGTCGCTCACCAGCTGTTCATATGGCAGGCAGAAAGCTGTACTCCTTTAGCTTCACTGCGTCATCAAATAGGGGCGGATTTTATCAACTGAGTTATGGTGCTTTATTCATGCTGGGAAGCCTAACGGCGGTGCTGGCATCTCTGGTTCCACTAGATCCTCCAGATGCTGCAGTTCAGACTCCAGCAGCTAAGGCTGGATTACAATGTTTCTATCTGACCAGGACCCAGAACTATTCCCCCTCTGGGGAGGATCGCCCAGACAGCAGAGGTAAGATGAGGCAGAGATCAGGAGGTGAGACAAGAGCAGCAGGAGATCAGAGCAGGAACTCTGGCAGAGAGTGCAGCCAGCTGGCTCCGCCCTGATCTAAAGCTAAAGGAGGAAAGCGTCTGATGGTTCGCTGGCGGGGACCGGCTCTGGAGCTAAGGTAGAGAGATGGGTAACTAATTATTTAGCAGACCCTCTGGGGCTGAAATAAAGTGGCCTTTTTTTAAAACTACCATCTATTTCTTCATTTCTTACTTCATTCTACATTAACATTAGATTTTCCATCCTCCATTAGGACTGAAATCAGCTACGACTCTGCTGCGCTCCCTCACCTCACAGCCACACAGTTCCTGATTCGTTGTCCAGAAGCCAGAAGAAACAAAAAACTTCAGCAACCATCACTTTATAGCATCCCTCCTGAACGCACCCCTACATGTTAATTGTTTGCTCTGGCCCCTGGAAACGCTTTCAGCATGAACGCACCAGACACCAATGGTTAAGCACAGAAGAGGAGGGGTGATAGTTTGGGCTTCTTCAGCAGACAATGTTACCCTGCATTCAATGATTCAACTGTAAGCTCCTCTGCTTACATGGAAATTTACACTTTTTTTCTCTGGTGCCGTAACTACATTCAGGACACCCAGGTCATGTCCTCTGTGTTTTTTTACTTATATTTTGCCTAAATTGAGATATATAAACTCTTAAATACACTAAAACTGAATGTAGAACTATTATTTAGATCTCCCACAAAACTGTGAGATGTTTTATATTTGAAGAACCATAACAATAGTGAACAGATTATGCACTATTATCTACACAATAGTGTAACAGACATCTGGGTGTCTATTTTAAATATTGAAGTAAATATAAAGCAACTAATTTCAATTCCACTGGAATGCTTTTTCTGACATATTTCTAGCGAGTTGTAGATAGAAAACTCAAAAGAAAGATGACATTAAAATCAGGTTTACATGTTTATAATGCCTGAAATGTCTGCATGGGAAAGAGGAACAGAGAAATGCGCCGACTAGCCTGTGCAAAAGTCACAATGATGTTGCTTTTGCCCCTTAAGACTCTGAAAAGGAGCAGATTCAATTAATGGAATTGAAAAACAATTTCTTGGGAGCACGCCAATGAACCCACTTTGAAGTGACTCTTGTTTGTCTTACTGCTGAAACTTGGCTAAAATGGAGTCATGCAATAATAAATTGCTTTGAATACCTCAAAGAATCCAGTCCTCCATGACAGCACAAACCTAAAAACTATTTTGCTGCCAACGCTCCTTCCTCTTTTAAATCATAGAGTGCTCAAGTTCTACTTTATGGGTTTACCTTCACTGCTGGTAATTAAATGAAGACATGTTGGGATGTGTTGCAGGGGTGCATGGTGAGGCACTGTTTAAATCTGGTTCTGAATCCTGTCCTTGGCTCTGTCTGCATGCAGTTGTAATGTTCTCCCAGTGTGGACGGATTCCCTCCGGGTGCTCCGTCTTCCTCAGACAGTCCAAAAACATTATTAATAAATAAAATGCTCTCCTAAATTGTTCTAATCTGTAAGTGTTTGTGTATGTTGCCCTGTTATGGACTGACAACCTGCCCAGGAGTGTACGCCTACCCGCCTCTCATCCAGCGAACGTCAGAAAAACAAGTTGCTATAGACAATGGATGACTTGATGGAGTCTCATTTATTAGTGTACACCTGAGGTCAGATAAAAAAAATAAGACCTAATAAAGACTGCTGCTACTTGAAAAAAATGATGAGGCTGTGCTTTCTTTTCACCATCACTGTTGATCCTTTTCAAAGCATAGAAATATATTCAGTAGCTTGGCACTGCTCAGTTGGCACAACCAAGAATGTATGGCTGAGCAGTGTTTCTAGAGAGGTACAGTGAAATTAAACGATCTTTATGGTCATTTTTCATCCCATTCGATTCGATTCTTTCTCACTTATTGCTCCAAAATCAGAGGATTTCCAGGAAACTGTTCAACGCTGCCTGCTTTCGTTTAGCTGACAGCTTTTCCAACTTCTGCTTTCAGGGAACATGTGAGACTAAACATCTTAAACCACTCAAACTTTCAGTGGAAATTCTTAATAAAATAAATCTCCCAATGAAAACAGAAACCAGAGAAGCTGTACTTAACACCAAAGCCCTCTTTCCTGTTATCATTGTTTGTGAGATTCCTGATAATCTGAGGCTAAAGGCACAACAATAAACGCATCTATTCATGATACTGAGATGGTTCATGGTCTGCAGTGAATAACAGTGAACATCTTTAAAAAGGTTTTGGTGTGAAGACATGAAATTCCCTACAAAACATTCTCAGCTTTAAAAATCATTTTGGCTTTTCTCTTCAGAGAGAAAATGTCATGACATCCAGCCTCTTTGCATCTTATATCAGTTTAGCCCTCTCATCATGATAACAGTCATCATATACAGCTACCCTGCATGGGATAGTGAGGGAACCTGTAGGTATCCTTCTACCTACAATAAAGGCTCCTCCCTCTTTCCATGACCTCATCCAACTGCTGCCTAAAAAGTTTAGTTTTTATCAGTATGATTATTTTTTAAATTATTTTTATTAATTTTTTAGATCCCAGGGAATGTATATTTCTGTCATGACATTTATTAGAGATACACCTACTAAATCTGGGTCCGATTTCAGAATTCTTTTTTTTTTTTTCCATATTTCTCCAAACACAAATATGAAAGCAGTAATGAGTCAATAATTGATTTTTAAGCAGAAAAGTTCCCTTAACATTTAATACAGCCATCAGTATTTGTCTTGGGGACTAGCAAGATTAGAACTAATAACAGCAGAAAATATTGACCCTCATTTGAACTCTGAGGTTCCCAAAAGGCTGCTAATGATCCCAGATCTGACATCAGACATATTAAGAACTAAAAAGAACAGGTTTTGACTTCGGCACACGCGGATATCTAAACGATATCCGCTGCTCTTCAACGTTTTTACTTTGGTTGTCCCCTTTTTTCGCTGTTATGTTTTCTTTCCTTGTCGTCTCATACAGGAAGCAGACTTCTAGCAGTTACTGTATATCTTCTGTATTGTCTATTTTTGCAGTTTGCTTTTATTTTCTCTCTTTCCTGTCTCTATCTTTATCCCCTTAGTTTTTATCCCCTATTTCTTTCTCATCTCACTTTCCACCTCTGTGTCCATTTAAAATGATATTATATTTTAATCCCTAAATAATTTTCAATGAAGTTTGACATAAGAGTATGAACTGGAACCTTATGGTAACAGTCCTACTGGTCTGCTTATGAAAGCAAAGCTGTTAGCTATCATCTAGCTCTGTGACATCTATTCCCAGAGCTATATTGGCAAAAAAAGGACACTCAAGAGAAAAACTAAATAAAAAAACAAAAAACCCTAGAATAAATAAATAACAGCAATGCTGTCATAATATTAGGCTGAAATATTTTGCCTCGCTGCCAAACGAGCAGCTAGAGCTGAAGCTCGGCTCTCTGAAGCAGCCTGAATGAAGCGCGTTAAATTGGCTCTTAGTTAGTGTTGTGAAGTTAATATCATGATAATTACATTAACTCTAAAACAAAGATGTTGTAAAACATTGTTTAAAGTTTCTGCACATGGTAAATGGTATCTCCTGAGGAGATGGATGCTAACAAGCTAATCAGACATCAGTCTGACTGATCAGCTGATTGGAAGTCAGTCAGATCACCTTCAAACATCATTGATGCTGCTGCCAAACGATGAATAATTTACTCTGTTTTTAGGACAGCAGATCTGACAGATCGATACCGCAGGAAGAGATCAATCGATAAAGCTTTAAAAAGACTTGGCTGGTTAAAAAAAACTCCATCAAAGATACAAATCTGTTGCAATAACACTCGATTGAGTATATCTGCTGAGGCAGTGGTGCATTTTCATATTTGATTGGTTTAAATGACAATGAGGAGCAAGAACAGGCGTTCTCTGTCTGATCAGCTGTTCACCAGGATTTCCAAAAAGCTCACTGTGATATGACATCTGTCTACTGCAGGTAAGGAAACAAAGCATTAAAAAAATTCATGGAGGGTTGCATAAAAAAAAAAAATCAAAACCAAATCCTGATCAGGATGTGAGCTGCAATTGCTGCTGGAATCGGAAGGAAGAAAAACGACAAATCGGCCGTCGGCTTTGATAGGCTTCCTACTACAGTTTTTATTCTTCATAATAAAAACTTGTGTTCCTCGATTAAAAACAGATTCGGTTTTAAAATCTCTGAACGACTGGTCGCCGCTCAGGATGAAAAAAACATTTAAGGTCAACAGCTGGTTCTTCTATTTGTCTCTTTTATCATGTGATACAATTTGATTTGATCGTTTTGATGATTGTTAGTGAATAAAGTCGGATTTGTAAGGAAAGGAGATTAGAACCTTTAACAAACATCTCCTATCTACTTTACCTACTGTTCCAGTAATTAGATGTGCACCAGTGAGATTAAAAACTTCCTACTCTCACTGATAGGTCTGTATGTCCTCCTGTAGATATGGTTTAAATGCGATGCATGTAGAGATAATCAATCAAAGTAGTTGCTTTTCTGAGCAGCCAACTTCAAAGTCCAAAAATGCACCAGCTGCTCACTGTAGTGACTCACTTGATGTTCCTCCGGCAAACAGAGGAAACCAAACTGAAATATTTATAGCAGGAGGTCTATTTGTTTATAAAAGTGCGATGACAGACGCTTTGTCAAACAAAGCATTGAGGCAAAGAACAACATGGAGGTACTAGAGTGTAAAATAAAGACGAGGATTTTAAACAATTCGGTTTGAACTGGCTCAGTGGTAAAGATGTAAAGAAACTATAAAACTTTTATAAGAATCTTAGTGTTCAGAGATTAGTGGAAAAAAACTTCACAGGCCCAAACTCTGGATCAGAGAGACGCAGCGGAAGCAGAGGGCCAGGAAGCCGGTGCCCAGCAGGTCCCCCAGAGCTGTCAGGTAAGGGATGGAGAAGTTGTCGGGGTCCAGACTTCTTCTCCACATGAAACGGACGATGAGATCGGCAACATAAAGAAGGATGGCCACCTGGGCAAAAAAACAAAACAAGAGAGAGCTTACCTGAGCTGGCCATGTTTAGGAAATAAACACCTGAGGATTGAAGTAAGCGACAACAGAGGTGTTCAGCTGCAATAATGGATAACATTACAAGCTTAGATACAGTAGTTACTCTTCAACCGCTTCAAGTTTTGACCCAATAATAACTTCAAACATCATTGACAAATATAAAATGTTGATGAGCTA